CCCCCCCCTCCCACTCAACCGCCACTCGCGCCATGCGACCCGCCCGCCGTTGTTTCGTACAACGGATCTAGGGTTATTTTCGAACGGGAGCGGATTCCACGGTGGTGAAGAACCCGGACGAAACTAAATAATAAAATATTTGACGTTATTTACGTTTAATTATATCTATCGTTTTTTTTTTTTTTTTTTTTTTTTTTTTTTTTTTTTTCACGAAAACAATGGCAAGATAAATGGAATAGAGCACTGCCTTTTTTTTTTTTAAATTAAAGAAAGATCGATACAAATTATAGACAAGAAAAAATTTACAAAAACAAAATATACATTTAGAGTTCAGACTAAATCGAATAAAAATTTTATCTGTGAACCACAACAATTTTTAAAGTTGATATTATTCTGAATGGAGCGAAGAAGCTTGTGTTTTTATAAAGATGTTTATTTTTTGTTTTTTTTTTTATCTGTGCACAAATTTTCTGTACCAGAAATCTTGCTCCAAATTTTAAGTGAAGCACCTTTTTCTGAAAGGAAATCGTTACTTACTACAGGTAAACATTAAATTGCCTATAACAGACACTGCATCCTTCCCTATTATCCTAGGACATATTTTTTTTTTTGTAAATCATTAGATCTTACCGTAAAGGTATGTTTAAAAACAAGTCAGCTAAAATTTTTTTTTTACACCACTGTGGATCAGTCGAATATGCACTTAACAATCATTTTTTCAATAAGCGATCACATAAGGATATTCATTTTGGTGCAAATTACATATCATTATTTCGATGTAAATATTGCCCTGATTTTTAATATCAGTTAATGTTTCTAATTTCATTTGGTTGGTACTTAGACATAATTTTTGATTTTCTAAGCGGTATTCATAAAGTTTGGAAAAACGTTTACGTACGTGTAATACAGAAACTTCGCAACGAATCGTTTTTCATTGGAAATGGTTATCGTTGTGCATAGATATAAATTATATACCCCACCAATTCGTACTTCCCAACTTCTCACCTATAACAGTGGTGAAGTAAATACTCGTCGTGTGAAGTATGTCCGATTTGAGATTTATTTGAAACAACTAAGTTATAGATTCTTAATAGAAAACCAAAATAAAAAGAAAAAAAACCTTTCGACACACCTGTTTTCGCGCCAAATCTGCGGACACGCAAAGATCTGACGTGACATTATTTGAAACCCAGGGACGTCTGACGGCATCTCGAAGACGGTTTTTCGATTTCCATAACTGTGGTTTATATTCGAATTTCGCACTTTTTTTCCCTTTTACGCATAGGAAAAATCCTTCCGTCAGCTTTTTTTTTTTAGATTACGAGTGGTTTTTTTCCCACACTCTTTTTCGGGTTAATCAAAACGCTCCGAAAACGATAGGCGAGCTTCGCCGTCGTCTTATATGGCGGGCCCCGGTTTCTTTTAGGCCGACTACGGCGCACGCAAATCGAATTTTGGCGCTACGTCATCGTGTCTCCGTCATCATTATAATATTATGACTTTTTTTTTTGTTATTTTACACTACCCACGACGACAACATAGTGTAATAACGGCGGCGTCGTCGGCGACACAATAATAATAATAATAATAATAATAATAATAGTATAGGTATAGTAGAAATATTATAAAGGCGGCGATAGCTGAAACGTCGAGGGCGTATCAAATGAATTTCACTTTTGACAAGATAATGAGACCCGGTCGGAAGTTTCCACGACCGGTATGATAACGCGGCGACGGAGAGTTAAGTAGAAAACTGTTTTAATATTATATCGTGTACAATAATAGTTGTTATGCATCAAAATATGTCGACGCTCGCTTTTACGTACCTAATATTATATTATAATTACTCCCGGAGCTTCAAGAGTTGAGATTTTTATTTTTATTTTTGGAGCTTTAAATTTTTGAATTTCCGCGCAAACGGAACAAATATAAACACAAATCTCAAAAGCATGTAAACGTATCTAGACGTTTTTTTTTTTTGTTTTCCATTAATAATGCAAATGTTTAAAATCGCACGTTTTGAAATTAACTGTCTCCGTAGTACGCATGCCCGTTCGTACGTATACACACACTCCTGAAATCTAATTGAATATCTCGTGCTCATTCCAGACAAAGTAGGGATCAATCACACCGCGAGACGATACGTCGCACTCGTTTACGCCCGTCAATATGGAAATGTGTCTCGTCCGACATTGTTAAAAAAAAAATCCATCAACAAATCGCTCTAATTACAACTACGTGTTGTGAATCGAGACCCACTGAGCATTGATTACTAAATTACTGTTTGTTCAAAACGACACCACTGCGCCCTCTCCGTACAGCCTGCTTTATAGAGCTACCAACGCGACATTCCCGTTTTCCCGGAAAACAAATTTAATACAAACAATACGACGACGTGCACGGCAGCACTTTCATTGCCCGATTGACAATTTTGGCGAATTTACATGTCTCGGACGCCACTAAATCCATGTGATCTGCCCGATGATACAGTCACTGTCGTGATGGTTATCGTTACGACTATCGTGATAGCAATCGCAGATAGTTCGGTAGTAACGTTTGAAAATATGCAGTCGTGGCAGGTGCAACGTAGAACGACGCGTGTTCGCAGGGTGAGTTCGCTATCACTCTTTCGACAATAAATATCAAATCCATCGCGCTTCACGTGTTGAGATAGTTGCTCTCGCGACGGTTCAATAGTAGTTATACTGTTGCCTTAGCTGCTTCACACGACGAACAGTGTATCACTATACACTAAAATATCGTTGCGACGAACTTTGCGATTATCGCTATAGTACATGATAGTATTGACCAGGCTCAACGAAACTAATAGCTAAAAACGTAATTTTCAAAATGATTTTTATTATTACTTAGATTTGACAGAACTATAAATCAATTCACGCGTACGTTTTATGTACAAAAGCGCACACTCGTATGACCAATGATAACGTTTTAATAAACCGTTTGAAATAATACACGATGTTCGCAGTTAGCGCGAAATAATAATAATATTTCAAAAAATCCGGATGTCCCTCGCTGATATCGTTTTGTCTGTTTATAGGTATAACAATAAATTATTACAATAATTGTTGAAATTAAATGTTTATTTTTATCGTTTTATTTCGATTTTCTTAGCATACTGTTCATTGCGAAGGTTAATGTTTAAGGTTAATGTTTAATACAGAAAACCGACGTGTTTGATCGACGAAGCAATTTTGTTTCCCTTTAAAGAAAAAAAAGGTGCCCCTAAAGTCTCCGTGCTTGTATTTCGTCCTACACTGGTATAAGCGCTCAAGACAACTACTCTAAATGGACTTTCAACATTGTCGCTTTTGAAATTTAACTGAATTTTTCTGTTTCGTGGAAATATACATATATAAAAAAAAAATATACAATATTATATTACGATGGACAATTTGTGTTTTTTCCATTTTATACGCAAGGGTCTTTAAAAAATTTGACCCTTGGGCCTCCTTTGCTCATGTCCTCGTAAGTCTGGTGTTCGTTCGGTATAAAATCGAACTATATTATAATGTTATTGGACCGCGTGTGATTTAATTTATTTCTAAATATCCGACCGAGAAAAAGCCATCGACGAGGAAAAAGCCATTCGCCCGACGACGCGTCATGTTATTATAGGCGAAATAACGTGGGTTCTCCACCTCTTCGTTTGCCCTGAGCTCTTTTATCGCCAATCGCGGTCATGACAGTAAAGGTCGACTTTAGAATATTCGTCCGCCAGTTCTTCGGAAACAACGTTTTTAGATTATGAGTGTAGCGAAGAATGTATCGGTTTTACTAAGATGTTTGTATTTTTTTTTTTTTTATCCTGTGTACAAATATTCGACCATAAATCTTGCTCAGATATGTATATATATGGTGCGTGGCAGCATTTCTGAAAGAGAATGTTGTCCAAATGGTACTTTTAGGAGGTCATTTTTTGATTTTTCAAGTGGTTTTCATAATATTTGGAAAAAACTTGGGTTAAACGAAAGAAAAACCGATAAAGGACGAAAATAATCCTTTTATTTTTTTTCCAATTTTTGTTGTGTGTTGTAATTCAGTTAAAAATATTCCTAACGACTTGAAATTTAGACAGAAAACTTATATTTGCCTGTTTTAGTCATAAAATTAAAAAAAAAAAATTAAGCCATTTTTAAATAATTTATAAACATTTTAATTTTGCGAGTACTGTGCGTAACTTTTATTCGGTAGGTACTCTGTGGTAAAATAGTTAGACTGAACAAAAATGCTTGATAACTTAATAGGAGGTTCATGAAATGTTACTATGTGGAAAAAAAAATTGAGTTTAATGTAGTCTTTGTTTTTACAAAAGAATTTTAATATCAAATTTTGACGAAAATCATTAAGTTATTTTAAAAATTTTTTTTTTCAAACATGTGTATTGCCTATTTGCTAAAGATAATAAAATCAGAATTAAGTGGACTGACTAATTTTCGAAATTACAGCTTATTGAAGTTCATATATTATGCAGATAGTTTAGGTTTACGTTAAATAACTCTATATTGTCTACTTCACTATATGTTTGTTGTATTCGGAAAAATTCGATAAATTCGAGTGACCATTGTCATGAATACGTGTTGTCATACTTGGGGTCGTGGATTCTCAGACCCGGTGTTAGAAAGAAATTGCTTGCACTTTTTTTCCTCTTTTACCTAAATATGGAAAAATCGAATGCATTTTAAGTGTACCTAGACAGGTCTCTAGGTAACTATCGCTCGCTCGGACGATTTTAATCGAAAATTCCCCTGCGCTCAGAATATTTTTTTCGTTAGCAATAGTTTTTATCGTTTATCTACAGATATACATCAAATTACCTATAACGGTGGCTGCACCCGTCTCCATTTTCCTACGACGTTTTTTTTCATCTGACGCCTAAAGTAAAATCTATAATTTGAATAGGTACTCTTTAGGGTAATTAAACATGTTTTCCGTATGATCTCCACTTTTTGTTTTACCATCTGTTGTTTGTCAGTCCCGCAACGGAATCTATTTGATACGCCATGTTTTCGATCGTCCTTGGTCTGTCATGCTATTTGTCCTCCTCTCTGTTAAAATAATATAACAAACAGTAGAAGCGTCTGAATGGCTCAGAACGTGTCCAATCGTGTTCCGTTTCCTAACGGTTTGTATCGTTCTGGTTTCATTAACTTCACTTAGCATAATACGATTACGTTTTCGTTCGTTTTGTTCCACTAACGCGTAACGTATCGTACTCGACCGCTAATCTCGAAAATGTCAGGATTTTGTTCCGATACACCCAATAGTTTTACGGCCGTCATTATGATATTATAGTGATGTAGTGCCGCAACCCCGAATTTAGTCGCGAACTAAGACCAGACGCTTTTCCGACTCGTATACTCAAAATATTCATACGTAATGAGTTCCTTTCGTTAGCGAACGCTGATTTCGACCGGGGCGGTTATCGGCGGTAATGACGAAGAAAAAAAAAAAAATCCCGATCGGTAATCGGTTTGAACAACGGCAAATAACAAACGTCTCGTCCGAATCGGTAGTGCGACGATCCGCGACCGCATTTCTGTCACAGATATTGCCAACGCCGCCGGTTAGGTCATAACAGCCGCCGCCGGTCGCGCATACGGCGCATTTCGACCGGGGCGGTTATCGGCGGTAATGACGAAAAAAAAAAAAAAAAAAAAAAAAATGATAATAATGAAAACCCCCGCGAGCTATTAAAGTAATAAGCGCACGTGTAAAACGACGTGTGAAAGGCACTAAACGAAACCCGACGCCTACCGGCTAGCTGCGTGTGTATAATATATTATGTTTTATTATTATATTGGATTTTTCGGAAATTGAGCGAACGAAATTCTCCGGCGTCGCCGCATAAACCCGTATTACCCATCATCATTCCGAGTTTCCGGGCCGGAAGTGGATTAAAGGGTGTAGACGACGCGAGGGGTCGGTCGAGGGGCGGTGCGGGGGCGAGTGTCGAACGATACGGGGAGGGCGGGGGACCGGGGCCGTATAGTATATTATTCACACGCGCCGGCGAACCGACTGCGGTGCACGCGCGGCGGCGGCCGATACGGTATTTCACGGGTATACACACCCGATACACCGCCGTATAATATTATACGTTATACCCGGTATACGGGCGCAAGATTTAAGATTTTCGCGACGGTTAAAAAAAAAAAAAAAAACGATATCGGCGGAAACTGCCTGTACGGCGGATTTCCCCGCGGAAATATTATCTGCAGCGTGTGTTATATTCCGACGGCATTCACACGCTCGGTCCCAATAATATTATGTTATATCACTACGCGCCGTTATAATATACCTGTACATTCCGTTTTGTTTGTTTGTTTTTTTTTTTTTTTGCTTTTTAGATTCCGAGCGATACACCGGCGCGGTATCGGGTTTGCGATATTATCGCGACGCTCGGTTATTCCATTTCATCGGATTCGTTTAGATTCTGAGCGAAACGATGAATGTGTTGCTGGTTTGACAATAACGTTTATTTTATTCATCAGCGAACGGCTTTTCTGCGGGTAATAAGGGCTGCTTTACGCCGTATTCGTTTTTGCTTGTTTTCGTTTCTATAGCACTTTTTCCGAAAGAAAATCCGACCGGGCCGGTACTTTTTAGTTAAGAAGTCATTTATTATTTTTTTTTTTTTGATTTTCCCGAAAATTTCGAGAGTTTCGCCAACGAATGAGAATAACCGGGAAAAACGTGGGAAAAAAGGTACAATATAAAACCAATATTACGAAATAAAATATTATACAATGATCATGTATATATAGTTGACAGAGCAACACTATAAACCGAACTCCGTTCAGAAACGTCTCTCGTTAGCAATGGTTAACCGTCGCGTACGGATATATTTCCCCTATAACTTCCCAACTTTTCACCGACCGGAGCGGCCCAAAAATCGTACACAGAATGTCCGTATAATTTTTTTTCTACCCGTAAACCGGATTTCTACCAAAACAAAAATTTCTTTTTATTTTAGATCCCGAGAGTAGCGAAGAAGCTTATTGTTTCACAATGATGTTTATTATTATTATTTTTTTTTTTTGTCTGTGCGCGACTTTTCTACCAGAAATTTTAAGTGTGGCACCTTTTTCTGAATGCAAATCATTGTGGGTAGGTACTTTGGGGATGTCAGTTTTCAATTTTCTCCAATATGACATTATATATTGTTACAAAAAACATCACTAACAACCGAACTCCGCACTGAATCGTTTTTTCGTTGGCAATGGTTTATCGTGGCTTACGGATATAAATGAAATAACCCTATGCATCCTACCTTTCCAACTTCCCACCTACAACAGTGGCTACACCCGTCCCCATTATCCCAGGACGTCTTTTTTGTTTTTATTGGTATAATACTCTTGTTTACTTCCACTTAGACACTTAATACCAATGCAGGTTATCGATAGGAGTTCGCGATCCGAAACTAATATTCTATCCGTACGAATAATCTATAATTTATTCACAGTTTACGTTATTGGTTTACTAACGATCACTCTATGTAAGTATATTATTTTATTATTTTTGCATTAAAATATAATATGGTGTTCAAAGCGATATAATGTTAAAATTGTTGAAGAAAACATTAAAAGAAATGATAAAAAAAAAAAAAAAATACGATATTAATAAAGAAAACTCTAATCGGTTGGCCGACATAATAATTTATGGTATGCCAAACAACTTTTTATATACACCAACTCTTTTGTTATTGGAAAAGTAAATTAAGTCTACGGTACCTACTTTATGTTTTTATATTTATTTTGCAAATATGATATTATAAACAAAATTATTATATTAAAGAATTCACTAAAATATATAGATTTTAATAGGGGCGGGCGTATACTATGGACGAGGGGAAGGGAGGATGCTCCCCGATTGTCTATTTTTTTTTTTTTTTTAAATAATACACTCTGTTTTGTATGCAAGAACCCCCCCCCTCTCCCCGAAAAAAAAACTTTCTCACAAGAAAATCTGTTGCCACCGGTTTTCTACCACCCGTACAATAGTTACGTATAGGCCACTGGATTTTTATGCGTTTATAAATATTATTAAACTATTATTATTTGACACGACTAAGCGAGGTTTCAATACAATGTAATTTATCGAGTTTAAAGACGAATTTGTTTGTTACAATATAACGCGTATGCTTAAATGCTCAAGATGTTATTTCTATAATGTTACGATAATACAATTAAACTACAAAAACTGTTCACCGGGAAAAAAAAAAAAAAAAAAACTGTCAGTGTATAAGCGAGACAAAAATGTACAACATCACGTCATATGATAGTGTATGATTATTGTATAAAAAAAAAATACTCAAGTGAATAATATTGTCGTGTTCAACTGCAGTTCGTTATAATCGATTCGAGTTCAATAACGATACTATGATTACGACCCGTTGTCTTGAATTAGGACAGTAACGTCATAACTCGGTTTGAATATTGTGCATTACCTGAAACAAAAAAAAAACAAAAAAAATCCGATTAATTAAGGCGTAACGTTGGCGAAAATGCACTTATACACCACACAAAGATTATAGTGCAGTAGACCTCCCGGTAATCGGGCAGATATCGCACCGTAGAACTGCCGGATTAACGAAAACGCCGAATAACGGAGGTCCGCGGAAAAACACATTTTCGCTTATTGAAAAACCTTAATTCTTTTTTTATTCAAACACATAAATAATACACTATACAACATACTGATTCACGCTAATACAACGCAATAACAAACCGGTACACAATAAACGCGCACGACACGTCAACGTTATTTGAATAAAAATAAAATATCTAATGTGTTCATTGGGACTAATTGATCGGTTAATTGTATCGTTTATGGTAATAAATCCGTGCTTATCAAAATGAAAAAACAGCCGGGCTACCGGACGGTATCGGATTATCGAGAATTTACCTGTCATACGACCTTCGGGCGTGTCCGCTGGAGTGCCCGTCGCAAAATCATATCATAACCCTGTACACACTCCACTCCACGGATTAGTAACAGATGTTGCAGGCGAGAAGTTCGGAATGTCCAGGCTCGAGGTGTGTGTCCGACAAGAGGTGTCTCACGATCATCTGACACTTTTGAAATTACTTTTGTCTCGTTCAATATTTTTTTATGACAATTCGGTACGATTTTCCGAAGTTTCGTCAAATCTTGCGGTTCATAATCTCATTACAATTATTAACCAGTAGTCACGAGCACTTCAAATGTCGCGGATTTTCTTTTTCACGAGTTTATATCAAAACGAAAACACTACTGACCGAGGCAGTCAATTTTATTTAGTTTTTATTTGATACGAGAAATTCGCATAAGCCGAGGATATTGCTAAACGGCTGAATACAAACACACCTATATGCCAGGTTTGAGGTAACAATAATTTCCAATGTATAACGTGTGTTAAAACATATTGTACGTCATGCGCTTGTGCCATTTAGACGGGGAAATAACGGGAAACAAAACGTGCGAGACAAAGTTCTAAAAAAAAATTCCGAAAATTGGCTTAAACCACTCTACTTCCCGGGACGAAAAATATTGCGTTACGACTCTTATCTCCGCGATCTTGAAGAAACGACTCGCGCTGTCACGGTGAATTGATTTCAACGGGCATCTACACGCCGTCGTCGTCGTCGTCGTCGGTAGTATTATGTTAACAGACTTTTCTGTTGGAAATCAACAGGTTTTCGCCTTATAGGTGCGTAAAGTACGCCGCATGATAATACGGTAAACGACGAGTGCGAGATACTCGAGATAAATACTTAGGACTGCGGCGGCGGCGTCGGGTCGCGGATCGGGTGCGATAATGGAAACGTCGCGTCTCACGGATAGTAAGGTACGAAACCTGTACGGTTTTCAGTTGGACGCGACAGAGTGTGCTGTCAACGGGGAAAATGGCTTTACGGCATGTCAGTGAAACGGTATCAATATTATACGGCACTGTTCACATTCTGATTTTCCTCTCTTCCTTTTTTTTTTTTTTTTTTTAAAGATGTTTCGCGAAAGACATTATTGCGACCGAAATACAGTCTCGGGGATGTTAAACGTACTACTTAAACGGAACACAATTTGTGATGTTACACGTTTCAAAAGAACGTCTTAGCAACATTTCTGAGACAAATGGCTCGCTTGCCACCACTGAAACTGTTTAACATTTAATTATAAAATGTTTATTTTTGTTAGTTTTTTTATAGAACTATAATGGTAAACCGACGGTCGCCCAATAACGGGTCTAGTGCAAGAGTATTAGGTTAAGGTACTACATGTCGGCGGCATTGCAGATGATGTGACGCTGTTCCTCCCTTGGGGGAGTGTGTTCAAACGTGCCGCGTTTTTTCCTCCGTCATCAACGACAAAGAAGGCGAACATTTTCGAGCATTGAGAATTCCCTTCCGTGGCCTATGTCGCTCCTAGCCGCTTCGCCATCACCGACGAAATGTTTACCGTTGGGGTGTCACCCAGTGCGGGCGTATCGATAGGGTGGCAACGAGCCTAATGGGTCTGACGATATTTAGGGGCCCCTAAGGTATTGTTTTGAGTGGATGGAAAGATATAAAAAAAAAAAAAAAAAAAAA